CTTTTTATATTTCCCAAAACCATTTTGGGGAGGGGCATTATCTACCACAATAGCATCCCCATACTTGGTTTGTGTCACCCTAGCCAGGCCATTCCCTCACGTACACCTTCTAAGATTATCACAAGTGGCCCCCAATCTATCGTGGCACGCAGACCTTCTGACCCTCACCAGTGACCTCTATAACACATGGCTTGTCCTTGTCCTCTCTCCTACATGCAGCTTAGGAGTTTACCAACATTAAGAATCTTGTATCAAAACTCATTATAACAATCCCTCATTTTCTTTCTTTTTGTTGTTGCAAGAATAATCCATTTATATATACAGTAATTGAACCAAACAAACCAAACATAGAAATGAATTCCTAACCTCTTGACATCATTCCAGAAAATACCTTGATTCATGACAATTTGTAAGTTACATGGAGATTATAATATATTCAAATGAAAATATCTAAATAAAAAGAATGTCAGTCTTCTTCCATGTTCCTTCAGAGGAACCCCAAGCTTTTTCTGGTCACTTGGGGCGCTATCTGATTGACTGAGATAGTCTTGTTTCCACATCTTCAATCATGTAAACCCTAAATTCCACATTATACAGTTCCAACTTAACATTCCCCATTCCTCAATCAACATTATCAATAGACTCTACACTGGAATAAGATGATATAGATGAAGAATTAGTAATCTTAATACCTTCCTGTATGTCTCTAATATTTCCCATAGCTTTAGTTAAATTCACAAGACCTTCCTAATCCTGATGGTAAGTATGTACAACATGCATCTCACCAAATAATCACATACATTCCCCCTTTATCTACTGTAATAGCATCCAATGCTATGCAATTATCAATTGCATAGTGTCCAATAAGTGATATTTCAGACCCAATTGCTTGAAAATCCAACACTGTTAATAGGTACAATATTCAACTCTGTTCAACCCTGACTCTGCTCTCCTAATATGCCTGAGGAGAGATACACAGGATAACACTCTGTTTTCAGTCCCTGTTAAATCAGTACACCCCTGAACTAGTTAGGATTGAGGAATTCGACCAAAAGTCAGATCAGATGGAAATATCATAAACATTCCTATGTCACAAATACCAAAACCCCATGATAGGAACCAATTAAGCTCTTGCCTAGCAACAGAGATATGTACCACTCTAAACATCCACATCAATCCCCCCTCCTTGGGAATACATAGTCACCTATCAATACCTCCAAATACTTCAAATGTATATAGTGACTTTCTATTTTTCTGCATTACAACCTGTAATTTAAATTGATTTTTATTTGGATTTCATGTAATGGACATACACAAAATAGTTCAAATTGGTGAAGTGAAATGAAAAAAATAAATAACGGAAAAGTGGTGCGTGTATATTTATTCACCCCCTTTGCTATGAAGCACCTAAATAATATATGGTGCAACCAATTACCTTCAGAAGTCACATAATTCGTTATATAAAGTCCACCTGTGTCCAATCTAAGTGTCACATGATCTGTCACATGATCTCAGTATATATACACCTGTTCTGAAAGGCCCCAGAGTCTGCAACACAATGAAGCAAGGGGCACCACCAAGCAAGCGGCACCATGAAGACTAAGGAGCTCTCCAAACAGGTCAGGGACAAAGTTGTGGAGATGTACAGATCAGGGTTGGGTTATATAAAAATATCAGAAACTTTGAACATCTCACGGAGCACCATTAAATCCATTATTAAAAAATTGAAAGAATATGGCACCACAACAAACCTGCCAAGAGCGGGCCTCCAACCAAAAAACTCACGGACCAGGCATGGAGGGCATTAATCAGAGAGGCAACAAAGAGACCAAAGATAACCTTGAAGGAGCTGCAAAGCTCCACAGCGGAGATTGGAGTATCTGTCCATAGGACCACTTTAAGCCGTACACCCCACAGAGCTGGGCTTTACAGAAGAGTGACCAGAAAAAAAAAGTGCTTAAAGAAGACAATAAGCAAACGTGTTTGTGTTCGCCAAAAGGCATGTGGGAGACTCCCCAAACCTATGGAAATTGAGCTTTTTGGCCATCAAGGAAAACGCTATGTCTGGCGCAAACCCAACACCTCTCATCACCCCAAGGGTGGTGAATAGTTATGCGCGCTCAAGTTTTCTGTTTTTTGTGTCTTATTTCTGGTTTGTTTCATAATAAAGAATATTTTGCATCTTCAAAGTAGTAGGCATGTTGTGTAAATCAAATGATACAAACCCCCCAAAACCTCAACCAAATTTAGAATGACAATTCTTATTGATTCACTTGGCCCTTATCAATCAAAGTTAAAACCCTCAACTTTATCACCCATTACAACTGTCAAAATGTACACTTGTATAAATATCCATAATTCTATTATGACCTTCCTCTTCCTGAGAATAAATACAGATCATCATCTCAATGCATTCCTAGTACTATTAATTTAGCAGTGTATATACCTCCTACCCAAATTATTACATTTAGATAAATCTAAATGTATTATCCAACCCCTTCTTTCTCCGGCACTTAAATATTTTGGCGTCATTATGTTCTTCAGACAGCTTCATAGATCAAAATGCATTGCCCATGACAATGTCCCAACTTCAATGTCTCATCCGAGTCACCGCCATCTCTACACCCCATTGTCTTGTCCATTTGCCAACCATTATACCAATGTTGTGGAAATTCGTCACTATACTTTATTAACAATCAAAGTTCTTACAGAGTTTTTGTTGAATCAAGATTTACTTTATTGAATTTCAATACTCATTCTTAATACCAATTTCTAATACTTGATATTGCTGCCTGATAGACTTTTCTTTGAGGGGTGTCTGCATTCCAAAGGCTATCTGTTTAAATGCCACATAGTTTCACATTCTCCCTTGAATTCTCCCAAATTATATAACCCAATTGTTTTATTGTAACACTCCTATATTTGCTCATAGTCTATTTGATATTACTCTGGCATTTTCCTTTTCCTTATTCCTATTGTAGTGTCGAGAAAACGATGCTGAGATGCTGTGAGAACAAGAAATCCGCTGACACTGTCCTCGATTATAATTATTTATTACATTTGAAGATCTCAGCGCCAATTTACAGACTTCTGCAGACATCTGGAGAATAACCGGCCCCAATCTCTAATATGTTATTCTCCCCTCCTTTGTCCCAAACCATAGTATATATATCCTATGTAACCTGATATGGGTGTTTTCCCCTACAGACCAATCCCAGGACTCCACCTAACAGACTTCCTCTGTTTTAGGGTTCCCCTATAGAAATGCTCTCCAGATGCTTCCCCAAGCTGAGTCAACATCCTCTAAGACACCATTTGCAGATGTCAGCAAAGTCATAAATTGTTCAGACACTACATATTTACCCCCTTCGAGACTAACTAAGTCTCAAAAACAAAAAGAATATGATTATGACAAATAACAATTTTTCTCTTATTGAGTAACTTTAACAATAAACCAAAAACAATTTTTTCTATGGAGTGTAAATACATTTCTATGAAATATGAACAAATCTTTATGGAGTGTAAATACATTTCTATGAAATATGAACCTGTCTGGCAACTTTCTT